ATGACCCACATTTGGACTTACAATGCAGAATGTGAGTGGAGGGTCAGCATTAGGTGGCTTCTGCTACTTCTGTATTTGATTCTATGCTCAAACACCCCATAGACTGCTCGGTGAGTATACTGTATGGCCCATAGTACTATATGGACAGTACTGTATATTTGCCTCACTACTGTGCCGTGCTATGCTATACAGTATGTATGTACATGGTGTGCCAGCCATTCCAGCCACCCTAGGCCTTGCTGTTTTTCTGATGTCCACTCAGTGCTACTATAGCGTGACAATGCATAGTACTTCTTTTTCTTGAACAGAAGTATAGTGAGATCTAGGTATCTTATTCAGAATTTTACTTTATTATGTGCTCCTTAGTATGAGATGTCATCAGAATGGAAAAGTATGAGTTCACCAGGAGACAACAACAAGAAACAAAGGAAATGTATTTATCTTGACATGAAAATGAAGATCATATACAACTATGAAGCTGGTAAGAAAATAAACAGTAAAACAATAGCACAGGACGTGAATCTGGCTCATTCAACCATTTCAACAATCCTGAAAGATAAAGACAGAGGGAAAGAGGAAGTGAAAACATCAACAGGATTTAAAAACATAATAACTAGACAGTGGAAAGACCTCATTATGATATGGAAAAATTTTTGGCAATCTGATTTGGTGACCAGGTATAAAAAGAATGCCAGTGAGTCTTTCAGTAATTCAAGCCAAGGCATTCAGTTACCTTCAAGACTTTGAAGGCACATGAAGGTGAAGAATGGAGGGAAACTTTTACAAGTCATGGGTGGTTTCAGTGGTTTTATCAGAGATTCAACCTGCACCATCAAAGTGTCATTGGGGAGGCAGCAAGGGCAGATATAGAAGCAGCAGAAAAATGTCTTGACCAGTTTGCTTAAATCAAAGAGAAAGGCGGCTACTGTCCAGAACAAATCTTCATCGTGGATGTAGCCAGACTTTCGTGGAAGAAAATGCCTGAAAAGTCCTCCATTCACAAAGAAGCTAAAACGATGCCTGGCTGTCACATTGCTGTTGGAAGGGAATGTTGCTGGGCTCAAACTTCAGCCTTTCCTCATCTGTCGCTCCAAGAACCCTTGTTCACTGAAGCCAATTAGTAAGCACACCCTGCCTGTTTACCATCGAGCAAATAACAAGGCATGGCAGACACAAGCTTTATTTGAAGACTGGTTCATCGATTGCTTTATACTGTCTGTGAAGTCTTACGATCAGGAAAAAGTCATCCCCTTTAAAATTATCCTCCTAGCTGGCCGAGGTGGTGCACACCTGCAATCCCAGCACTCGGGAGGCTGAGGCAGGAGGATCACGATGTGAGTTCGAGACCAGCCTGGGCTACATAGTGAGTTCCAGGTCAGTTTCAACTACATAGTGAGGCCCTGTCTCAAAAAACCAATAAATAAATAAATAAATAAATATATCCTCCTGCTTGATCATGCTCCGGGCCTCCCAGCACCCTGATTATCTACAGATGTAAAGTTAGTGTACCTGCCTAAAAACACAACTGCTGTCTTATTGCCCGTGGATCAGCGGGTTATACCTACCTTCAAAGCACGCTATTTGTGCGTGGCCTTTTGCAAAGCTATAGCAGCAACGGAAGATAAGGAAATGGGAGGGCAGGGGTATGGGAAAAAAATGAGAACCAAGACCCATCATGTAAAGGGACAAGATCCCAATGATTAATGTAACTGTACTGTACACTTAAAAAGTACCAATAAGCTCAATGAAAAAAAAAAATAACGAAGTAACCCTTCAGTGATTTTTGAAAATCGTACAACATTTTAGACTGCATTAAGAACACTGAATCTGCTTAGGAAGGAGTGACAGAAAAGTGCACACAAAGCTTATGGAAAAAGAGAGTACAACGGGAATTCCCTATGACGAATGTTATCATGTATATCTAAAAAGTACCAATAAATGTTTTTGCTTGGCGGGGAGACTGGTAGTTACATAATTACTTGAGTGAGAGGTGAGTAATATGGCTGTGGCAGAGAAATAGAAATATTAAAATTATTTTCTAAAATCATTCACCAGCCACGGTATTTGGAAATACAATAGTGAAAAGGTTGTGAATTAGATAAGTAGGAGTTTTACCCAGTATTCTAGTTCTCTAGAGCAGTGCTGTCCAATACACCTTTCTACTGTGGGCTTCTTTTCAAAAGATGCAAATAGTTTTTGAGTGCTGGAAATGAGTCCAATTAAATGAAGTAACTGACTTTGTAATCATTTTAACTATAATTAACTTAGAGTAATTTTATTTTAATTTAAATACCAGAATTACCAGATGGCTGGATGAAACTCTAAATGGTTCCTAGGAGTTCTGTCCTGTGAGCTACTCATTGAAGACTTATGTCATCAGTTTGAATCATGAGGACCCATTCTACTGCGAAGAACAAATCAGAGGCTAAATATCATTGTCAAACTCAAGCAAAGGTATGCAAACTCAAAAGACTACCATTTCTATAGTGCCTATAACAAGCGCTGCATACATTAGCAGTAGCCAATAGGTTATAGATTGAACAAATAGAAGCTCTGGACCATACTCAGATAACGTGATCTCAAAGTTACTGATTGATCACCAATAAATATCAGTGGTCAAATCCACAGAAAATTTGCTAATAGAGAAAAACCATTTTAATTAAATATAATGTATAAAGACTCATGTTGCTAAGTAAGCACCAATGCACTTACATTATAGTTTGAGAGACTTTGGAAGACAATACAAAAGTTACTATCTTCTCTTTGCATTTCAAAAATCAGTTATAATATATCTGTGTGATGAGGGGTGCTAGAGATTAAACCTAGGGTCTCATGAATGCTAGGTAACTACTCTGTCATGAGCTACATCTCCAGCCCTCTGGCTTTCATATTCAAAAACAAATTCATAAGATTTGGAGAAAAAAGGCTGAAGGACATCTGAATTTATGTAGAATCAAGGCATTTATCACTCTAATAATTGTGCGTTAGATTGATTCATTGACTCATTTTTGCAGTCCTGGGGATTGAACCCAGAGTCTTCCTCTTGAGCTATATCCTCAGCTTTTTCTTTTCTCTGAGACAGGGTCTCATTAATGCACTAAATTGTCCAGCTGGGATCAAACTTGTGATCATCCTGCCTCAGTCTCCCAGAGTGCTGGAGTTACAGGACTGCACCACCAAGCCTGGCTAGGCTACGTATTTTAAAGCCTTGAAAAAAGTTAACCTACAAATGCCCAATATATTTTTCTCTCACACAAAGTTTGTCATCATTCTTTTGAATCTCAGATACTGCAGATATTTTAGATATGTGTAATTTATGTTCAAAGATGTTGGATGATCTAAAATATGACAGGTCTGTCATTGAGTGTTTAAATACCTTGAAGTTGATTGTGATGATAAATGTACAACTCTGTGAGCATAGTAAAAAACACTTGGCAGAACACTTCAAATGGGTGATGCGTACGATATAGGAATTATATCTCAAATATGTCTAAAATAAATATTATGAAAAAATACACTCAGTAATTTATAACTAAATTTTATTTTTTGTACATGTAGTATTTCACATGACTTACCTGTAAATATATTTTACTTCCCTAGCATTCCCCAATTTTTTTTAGAAAAAATTAACTGCTCAGAATATCACACACGTCTGTAGACTTATGACTGCTTAGAGCAGTTTTTTAAAAGTATAAATTGTCCACTAGATGGCACTGGTGTGCAAGTAGTATTGCTCAGAACCTTTAACTCAAGTCAATATAATTATCCCAGTGTTATTTTTTATTCATTTTGACTGGTCTGGGTAAGATAAGAGAAGTAGAAAGTTAAGACAAAACACTTCATAGACTCGCTAATCTCTGGGGTAAGCAGCACCTTCCTGGTACAAATATAGCATAAAGAAATGATAACATTTTTTTTCTTTTTTGTCTTTTCTAAATGCAGGCTAACAATTCAGAATTCTTAAGTCTCAGTTACTATCAAGCAATTGTATAATATCAAGGGAGGATGGGAGTGAACACCATTGTCTATGAGAACAAGTCAATTAACTTCTTTTGTGCCATTGTACACATTACTGCCCTTGGTTGCTGAACTATTAGCTCTGTGATCCTAATTACACAAAATTAAACTATTATCTCAGTGAGAGAAGGAGGGTGATAGTTTTGTTTAATACTTTCTCACTTAGATTCAGCATAGTGCCCAACACAGAGTAAACAGTTTGACTAGGTCCAGCCTTGGACTCTTTGTTCTGGTAGAATTCTGTTTGAGCAAGAGTCCTGCTAACTGAGGTTAGGGACAGTCCTCACTCTTGGGGTCTGACCTCCCTAATACTTTAACGCTCTGCACTAGCTTCAGCAAGAATCCTGTTAAGCAGATCTAGCAAGAATCCTTGCTACCCACGATGTTGAGCAGTTGTTGTCCATCCTCTCTCATCCTAACTCTGATTATAAATTTCCACTTGTCTTACTGTCTTGGTTACTTTTCTCTTGTTGCCAAGACAAAATACCCGACCTCCAAGTTTAAAGGGGAAGGGCTTTAATAACTCACAGTTTGTAAAGGTTTCAGTCTACAATCAGCTGGTTCCAAGGCAGAGTGGCACATGATAGGGGCGTTGCACAGGAGAAACAGTTCATGGCACCCACACTGTAGCAAAGGGATTAGGGCAGTGACAAACCAATCATGAACTGATTTAGTAACCATGCACCCTTAATCCCAGCATTACACACTCTAGATTCTGCCACTTCTGAAAAAGCCACCTATGACCGTGTGAGGTTTGGGGGGGACATCTAGACCCAAACCATAACTCTTACCTAAGTTGGAATGGGTCCAATCTCAGTATCATTTCAAGACCCTGTTGCAATGGTTCCTGTACTTAGCGCCATGACACCCCCACCCGCCCAAACAACTTGAATAAAGTCGGCCACCTTCAACGAGTGTTAGGAATAATTTCTTCGTTCACAATGGAAAGTTCTGGGGAAGAATTCTTGGGCTCAGGAGAATCCTGGAGGTGAAGCCAGCGCTAGGAAAGCCTTGTTTCAGACCAGAAGATCTGGGCAAAAGACAGGGATTGTACAAACGCGCAACTTGAACCTGGCTTCAGCAGAGGGGCCTGGATTTAGGCGCGGGTCTCCCAAGACGCCAGAGGGCGCTGCAGGATCAGCCCCGAAGCCAGCACCCCTAGGTGGGACAGCAGCGGACGCCCGACTTCGTCTTCCGGAAGCGGAGAGGCGGACCCGCGACGAGTGCGTCAAGACCTAGGCAGAATCTGCGAGGCGCAGGGGACCCGGGTCCGCCGTCGGCGCCGAGGTGGAGCAGGATGGACGAGGCCGGCAGCTCAGCGGGCGGCGGCGGCAGCAGCTTCCGCCCGGGCGTGGACAGCCTGGACGAGCCTCCCAACAGCCGCATCTTCCTGGTCATCAGCAAGTACACGCCCGAGGCGGTGCTGCGGGAGCGCTTCTCGCCGTTCGGCGAGATCCAGGACATCTGGGTGGTGCGGGACAAGCACACGAAGGAGTCCAAGGGCATCGCCTTCATCAAGTTCGCCCGCAGCTCGCAGGCCTGCAGGGCCATGGAGGAGATGCACGGACAGTGCCTCGAGCCCAACAACACGAAGCCCATCAAGGTGCGGGTGCCCGGGTGGCGGTGCCCGCGGGGCCAGGGAGGCGGGGGTGGGTCTCCCGGGCCTCCCCCGGTGCTGTGCC